GTCTCCTTCCAACTCTGCTGCTTCTAGGATCAGGAGAATTAGGCAAAAATAAGCGCATGACAAGCATGATATGTGTGAAATACTACCACATTTCTGGAAGCTCATATATGGAACTGAGGACATACATTTTTATTACATAAATGATAATAAAAATTCTATCCAATGGAAATTTTGTGATTAAGATGTAAGTTATAAGATTAAAAGTGACACATCTATACAGACATTACAATATGTCCCAAGCTGCACTCTTCTCTCTTCAAACAAAATATAACCTCTGGTCACCCTGATTCCTAATGGAGTATATGCTTATGTTTCTCCTTAGAATTGTGAAGAAATTTAGGTGCTGCTGAGACCCAGTTCGGTATAGAAAAGATTGGAAGAGGTGATAAAGAACATACACACACAGATCATTTTGTAAATCTCTCCCTCCACTCTCTTTCTGTGATTCACAATTGATGGAAAAGTGTTGTGGACTGAATTGTCCTCCCCTAAAACTCCTATATTGAAGTCCCAACCCCTAGTATCTCAGTATGTGAGAAATAGGGTCATTGTAGGTGTCATTAGTTACAATTAGGTCACACTGGAGTAGGGTGGGCCCCTAACCCTTATGAGGGATGTCTTTATGTTAGACAGTTAGGTAAGTGGGGGCACCAGGCAGATAAGATGGAGAGGGAGGATGGTCCGGAAGATGGTGGTATGCCTGCCTTCAGCATAAAGGGGTTTTGCTTCCTCTAAATGAGTGCCAGCAAGAGACCAGTTGGAAGTAGATAACCAACTTGACTGCATGTTAGTGACAGGGTCCTGACTCAGTATAACCCAGCGATCATTGTAATATTAATTAGCAGTGCAATTTAGGCCCCATCATGGGATTTTCTGTGTGCATCATGGGTGAGGGCATGCACAAAAGGGGACAAACATGACTAAGCACTCCAGGGGCAAGAGCCGTCAATCAATCAAGAGACCACCTCTAAGTGAGGGTGTAAGAGAAGGGGCAAACAAAGACCACTGCTGTCCTTCCTTGGATCAGCCACCTTCCATTTTTGGAGGTGTACTTTCACTTTGCTAATGAAATGTTTAAAACCTTTGACTACACAATGCTTTCATCTCTCGTCTGAATTCATCTCTTTCAGGCAAGACAAGAACCGAGGCTTTTTCTCTTCCCCTTTTGGGGTAGGACTTATAAATAGAGGAGATTTGGACATGTGCATGCACACACACACACACCCCCCGCCAGAATATCATGTGACCATGAAGGCAGAGATGGGGTGATGTGTCTACAAGCCAAAGAATGTCCAAGATTGCCACCAAACCACCAGAAGCTAGAGGAGAGCATAGAACAGATTCTCCCTCACAGCTCTCAAAAGGGACCAACCCTGACAACACCTTAATCTCAGGCTTCTAGGCTCCAGGACTGTGACACAATAAATTTCTGTTGTTTAAGCCACTCGGTTTGTGGTCCTTTGTCACAGCAGCTTTAGGAAACTAGTACAGGAGGTTTCCATCGTTTTGGGTTTCTGGGTCCACTTTCCAGACAGGGGTAAATATAATAACAGAGCATAAGAGCAAACTAAGGCTTTATAAAGGACATTTTGCCCCATGAGTGTCTGAGCAGTGAGTGCTAACAGTGTGGCAAACGTCCACAGGAGCAATTTAAGAAAGTTAACTTGGCCTCGGGGAAGACAACAACCATATAATAAGAGTATAAAAATCAGCTAATGAAATGTTGGGACTATTGTTTATTTGTCTGTCTGTTTGCCTACTTTTTCCAGGGCTTTTACTGATGTAAGGAGCAAGAGGAATATACACGGCAGAAGCAGGCAAGTCCAGAGGACAGAGTTCCTGCTTGAGTATTTAATAAGTATTTGTGAAATGAATGAATGAAAGAACAAACAACATCCAGCTAAGCTTCAGAGAGGAGGTAACACTTTTAAGTACTATTTGTCATGAGTGGGCAACAAATCATTTTACACAAAGCCAAATTAAAGTAAAAATAATTTTTCCCGAAACATGGTAATTGTGGTAAATTTCTAACTAGCGGCAAAAAAAAGATTTAGAAGAATTTCACAACCTTTGGAGCCAGGTGGTTTACACAAAGCGTAAAACGTGTTATCAATACTCACTGTGTACTGTGGCCTAGTTATATATGGTTAATTATTTTTAAATTTTCATAAAATATAATCATAATCAATTAGCACATAGAATACTATTGAATCTTGGAAAGATTCTCAATAGTAGAATAACAGGAGGCAGGTAGGACTTTGGCATTTACGTGTTCTCTGGAAGGAAGAATGTGGATCACACCAGATAGAATAGTGAGCTCTGATTTCCCTTTGAAGTCTTTCTCTAAAGGCAAATTATTTCTATGTGACACACTCAATACCCATATGCATACAAAGGTATCCATCCATAAGGACACAGGCTATATGTCAGAACAATCTGGCACTTGCTGAGAACAAAAGGATGCTTTTGAGGACCAATTTGGAGTGCTTCCCCCACCCCAGGGGGCCTGCTAAAGGAAGAAGAAAATTGAGTCCTCTCTCCCGTCTTACTCCCGTAAAACCATGGTAAAAGACTACATATAGTTATTAACAGGATCAACATTCTGTTTCCCTTCTCCCCTTCCCCTTTTAAGGTCATTATAGATAAAGAAAAGCAAAATAAATCAACTCTCTTCTTTAATTATTTAATGGGATATAAGAAGTTCCTTGAAGAGAAAAATTATAATAAGTGGGCTGGGGTGGGTAGAATCCATGACTTAGATAACTGTTTCTACTCATTGGAGTGTGTCCCATTCCATGCTCTACAATACCATGCAGGAAATTTAATCATAGAGATAAGCCAGGAAGCAGCCATAGTACCTCCACACAACATAAAACATTCATATATTATAAATAAATGATATATGGTATAAATACGATTGCTTAGTGACTAATGGCTTACACTCAGGCTGAGTCTATGACCTATGTAAAAGATTTCTGGCATGTAAAGGGAAATACACACAAGAGTATTCCCTTGTTTGAAAACTTAAAACGTGTATGCTCATTAAGCAGAAACATCAAAACAAAGTTCAGACAAAAGCCAAAAAGAATTTCATTCTATTTCAGATTTTACTTGGATTAAAACAGTGCAATTGTACCAATAAACATAGACATTCAACCTATCCAAAACAGAAGAAGAATAGGGAGAAAAGAGAGTACTTAACAGGAAAGACAAAAATACCTTGGATAAATATATATGTGTATATATAATTAATTCACCCCCTTCAATGCTTCATTGATTTTCTAACTTTGAAGTTCTGTCATCTAACTGCCGGGGATAAACCACTGGCAAAATTTGCTCCCAAAAAGGGGAAGAAAGAATGATACTAATTTGATAAAAGATTAATAGAATATCACTTAATTTTAACCTTAAATATATTATTCACTTCGGAAATAGTGTCACCAATATCACTACAGCATAAATATTAAATCTTTGTCATTCTCTCACTTACATCTACTTATGAGTTTATTTATCCGGCCCTCCAGAATTATAGAAGATATACTTTTATGTAAACAACTTTTCACATTTTTGTTCCATAGTAGCATTTGAACCACAAACTTAATTCAGTTGCTCTTAACAACCTCAAATGGAATATCTTTTTTTTCTTACTCAAAGCCTTTAAAAATTTCTATGTTCCAAACAGCAGACATAGAACCAGGAACCTCCAAACTGAAAGGAAGCATTAACACATTCATCCTACACGAGACCATCCAAGATGAGGGCTCATCGAGGTCCCATATCACTTGAAGACATGTCCTCAGTGGTTGCTCACATATAGTTAAAATAGAAGCATCTTCTATAAGTGAATTATGAATCCTTCCGAATTACACCATCCATTTGTGTTTCAAAGCTGGCAATCTGAAAAAAAAAAAAGAAAAAGAAAAAACCGATGATTACTCGACTGGTTCCTCACCTTGGCTGTCTTTGTTCTTCTTTTCTTTGAAAATGAATTTAATGAATTTGACAGCTTACATTTGAGAAGAAATTCTGAAATTTTAGATATTTTCTTCAAAACATATGTTGACATCTGTGAAAATCAGGATGCCCCCACACACGTAATATGTGGAGTAGAAGGATTTGGATAAACTCTACCACTCCTTATCAAAAGGACAGAGACTGCTCCATTTTAGACTGGGAGGCTACAGAGGATGTGCCATCATTTCTTCTTACTGCAAACAGCAAGGACCCACTGACAGAAACATTTCAGGCTACATTGTTGGTAGAAAAAAAAAAATCAGAGCTAGTATCTGCCTTTCTCTATGTCCTTATGAGATTCAGGGGTTGGGAGAAGGGTAAAAACAGTAATAGCAGAAATAGATCCAAAGTACTTATAATTCCCAATAAAACCTCCATGAGAGTGTCATTTCCAACAATTGTTTTATTCCCTCTCCTCTCTCCTTTTGCTAAGTGCAGTACATTCCTCTGCTTCAACTAGTGGCTCTCAACTGTGGCTATACATTCCAATTACCTGGAGAACTTTTAAAATAAAAGAGGGATGAGTATGCTGGGGCTTAGGTCTGGGTAGCTTTAAAAGGGCATCAGGTGATCCAACGTTCAGCCAGGGAGGAGGACAGCTGTATTAGACCAATGGTTTCCAGAACTTACTGATAACCAGAAACACCTGGGAGCTTTGTCAAAGTATTGCTCCCTGTGCTACTCCACCCCCGCCCTCCTTCCTACCTATGAAATTGGATTGGAATTCCCAAAGTATTTCAGTTTGTGTTCATTAGCAGTTCCTCTATTACATTGGAGAGTCACCACCTTTAGGAATCATTGACTATATATTGTAATTGAACCAAAAGGAAAACAGTAGTTCTGATCAAATCCATCTATTGATACTGCATCAGAACGACAGATCATTTTATTTAAACTTCATGGTGAAATCATGTATGTTCTTACGGATCCATTCAGTAAATACGGTATTTCTACCATGTGCTGAACCCCTTCAAGAGACCTCTTTTGAGAACCTCTCTGTAGCCACTCCACAATGAGTTGCTTGCTCTCTTCTGTCTGTTCTATCTGCTAACTCTGCTATGGAACATATCCCCATGGATTGTCTTCATGTCCAATTGTATATATTCCTGAAGAGAGGTCCTCGGCCTGTTGTGTGATAACAGCTTACTGGGTGCCGGGCCCTAGAATGAGTGCTTTACATGCATTAACTCAGTGATTTTTTTCAGAGCCTTAATTTCCTCATATGTAAAATGGGCAGTGGGGTATCTCTTTCTTTCAATTTAAACAAGCTAGTTCCAAACTGATGGGAGACTTTTCTGCTAATACTCAATAGACTGAGGCCCTGAAACTGCAAAGTTGGGGGTTGTGAGAAGAAGAATCTGGTCGGTTAAATCACTCAAGGGGCTCCTGTCCTCTGCCCCCTTGGCAAAAAAAGCAAGGGAAGAATTTTACTGACTTAAGGCAGAAGGGTTCCCACTTTTTCTCAAACCCAATTAAAACTTGTGCTATGGTTACATGCCTTGGAATTTATGACCAACCCTGAGTTGTTCATAAGTGAACTATTCAAGGTATCCAAGGAGCCTGCTCATTCAAGAGAAAAAGAGAGTTCGTGGAGAGAATTTGTTTTCTCGTGGATGTATCTAATTTATTTATAATTTTATTACTCACACATACTTAACATCACCTTTCCTATAAAATGTCCATTTAGAACTATTGCTTTGATCTCAGGCTCACAAATCATGAAACAACTGTATTCAGATTCCCTGTATGATTCTCTTGTTGTGGGTGATTAGATTCTCATCTCATCACAGAAAGAATTCAGAGAGGAGATACGAAGTCAAAAAAGTAAATAGAGGATTTATTAAGGAATGGATAGTACACTCTCAAGGGGAGAGCAGGCAGGCTCAGGTGAGCAGCTGCCCTGAGTTTCTTAGCAATTTGGTTACACAGAGTGTAAAAATGAATGAGCAGAATATTCATTGGCGAGGGAGGGGTTTGGGGTCTGGGTCATAGTCCCTGATTTTCATCCCAGCTCCACCTACCCAAGGGGAGGAGGGATTTTTGCCCTTATTTAGCCTGGATTGGAAGTGTCATGACCTTGGTGCATGATGGGCACTTCTAATATACAAGGTTAATTTTACTGTAATGAGGGCATAATGAGCACAAGATTACACTGGGACTATGGAGATTCCTGCCTCTTCTCACCTTTCTCTGCCTGCCTCCAGGACACTTGTCACCCCCAAATGTGTGATCAGTTTCGAGGTTCCTGCTTCTCTCTGCCCAAGGACCCCGTTGTTCACATGATGTATGGTTTCCTGCCACTTGGTTCATGCTGCCCTTTCTCTTTCTGCCTGCTCTGACACTTTGACTACAGTGTCTTCTTTACAACTAGAATCACTTTTCAGAAAGACTTAGTTTTACAAAGCACCCTGTCTCCACTGCCATCTAAGTTACTTAAGATGCAGCACTTTTGATCTGTGTACAGTACTGTTGCTGAGTACATTATACTAAACCACAAGGACCCACTGGAAAAACATTCAGCCATTTGGGCACTTTTCTTTCCTAGGTGTGAAGTCTTATAAGAATACGAAGACCCAGGCCTTTTTCTCTGAAATTCTGCTTATGCCTTTTCTTTCCATTGAGGATGGGATACATGTTGCCTGGAGACTAGACAGGAGAGTGGAGTTGGGTCAATAGGGAAATAATTACTGGGAAAAATGTCACAAGCCAGAGTTCTCTAAAAATAAGATTTCCAGTGCCCTAAAACTTTAAGAAAAAGTGAGGAAAATGATCTATATGAGCCTAATTTGATTAAAAAGACTCTAAGAAAATACTGATTGTAGACATTTACAATTAATTCATTAATTATATGGAAATATCTGGGCACAAGCATTTCTGACTCATCTAATTCTAAAAGAATCCACAAAGTTTTTATCTGCCACAACAGGGCACTGTGGGAGCTAGTGATTCTCAAAATGGGTTGCCTGGAGCTGCAGATTCCATAGCACCGGTGAATCTGTTAGAAATGAAAATGCCCAGGCCCAGCCCAGACCTACTGCACAAGAATCTCTGTGCGTGGCGCCCGGCCACTTGTTTTTAAACAGGCTCTCCAGGTCATGCTCATTCCTGAATTTTGAGAAACAAACCACTCCGGCCAGATAGCGTCTTTTCCAACTTAATAGAATTGTAGCAGAAGAAAAAGGCATAACCTTCCTAGGGTGAATACATTTTCGCACCCAACTCAGTGCTTTTCTTTTTCCTTAATCAGAGAGGCTCAGAGAGGAGCATGCGGTGAGAAGGCAACATTAGGCTGCTACAGGAAGCCCAGCACAACGCCGCAGCTACCTGCGGCTCGACTCTTGCTACAGGTGCGTTCAATATGCACGAAACAGCAGACTCCTTATGCCTAATCTAAATCCTCTTTCTGCAAGTTAAACTTTCCCTTCGTTTGCAGTGGAAAAGAATAGCTGGTGAGTAAAATTAGTATGAAAAATGTTCTTGATGTCCATGATTTAAGTCATTCCTGAGCTTTTTTTCTTCAAACTAAAACACACTGTTTTCTCTTTCTGTCTTTCTCTTGAACTACTACTTAAGTTAGGAACATGTAAATGAATTATCTATTTTTTAAATCTGGAATTTATTTTGAAAAAATAAAACCCTTAGGTCTTGCTAGACATAGAAATTGCTGCATGCTCAGGAGATAAACACAAACTCTCCAAGGAAACCCCAATGACTTCCAAAATGTGCCTACTTTTCACCAGTTCCCACTGTATCATCGCCATTATATTGTTTACTACTTAAACTTTTATTTTTATTTTTCTGTATTTTGCTCATGTTTTGGGAAAAAAAAATCCACATTTTTGGACTATCCTGCTAGCATCCGCTCTGCTGGTAAAGCGCCCTAATTTCTGTGCTAGTAGTAACACTTCACACTTTTCATTCTTGTGCCTTTAAGTGGCATTGGCCGCAGCCCTCTCCCAGGTGTGGATTGTAATTCAGACGGGCCAATCAGGTTGCTGCCTCCGCCCACCCACTCTATTTGGATCAGGGATAAGCATTTGACTTAATTCAGGCCAAACGGAGACATGGAGGCTCAGATTCTCTGTTTAAAACTTTAGAGGAAGGGGTACATTTTTCCAGCTGGAATTGCCAGAAGCAGGACCGTAAGTCGAGAGCTGTCGGAAGCCAGCTAGCCACCCTGTCTGGAGAACCCACCAGCAGTAGAAGCAACGCAGAGAAAAGCAAAGCCGAGAGGCGGAAAGGCTCCTGAGAAGGAAGGCCCGAGGACAGCCGCGGAGCCAACTGGGACCAAACTCAGGTAAACGAGCTACTTTTTAAAATTATTCTTTCTTAAGCAAATTTATATTGCATTTCTAGTCACTTTAACCTTATGTGCAGGACATTGTAGCTAATTAGTTTACAAAAAAGGAAAGAGAAGAAAAAAATCAACGAGTCTCGGTTTTTGAAATGGGCAGCGGCGTGGAAGGGATTTTTTTTTCTTTCCCTGAGACTTGGTGAATGTTGTGTAGGGCTGGGTGGAATGGGAAAAAGTATGTTTGGTTTTGAACATTTTTGTTTAACTATGTCTATGAAATATTTGAAAGAAAATATCTTATAGGTCATTGATTGCACACGTCTCTAGCCCTTGCAAGAGGTCGAGGCTAGATGTGGGTGTTGGGGAGTCATTGGGAAATAGATGGTAGCTGATGTAAGAAAACCAAAGGGTATGAAGGGTGCCCAACGTTTCTCAGGCCATTATTTTACCTCAAATGGCTCCAGTAAAGTAGGATAATGACAGAAAACATTTGGCTTGAAAACTAGGACTCACCAGTGGAATGTACCTCACCGACAAAGCAAAGCAGCTGTGTGTAATGAAGTGCTAGATAAAGAAGCAAAGGTGTAGATCTTTCTTTCAAGGGTTCTTGGTTGCAACGACAAGACTTAGCACTCTTTACCTAAATGTGTTTGGACCACGATGAAACGGAAGCATAGTTTTGACTCGTCACTCTGAGTATGAGTTCAAGGGTCCAATTATCATTTTTACTTTCGCTGCCAGAATTGTCTGTTGCCATTTTAATTTTACGTTACTTATTAGAATGTGGGAGTAGTGTCCAAGCAGATGGTTGTCAGTAAACTGATGACTACAGTTATGGATCAGTGTCCAAATACAATACTCAGAACTTGGTACACTGCATAGTTTCCTGCATGTGACTGCCAAAATAAATCTGGCCTGGAAAATCATTCTGAGGACTTCCTCACTTAAGTTTTCTTCTGTATTTTAAACTAAAGGTATTCTTTAAACGCTGAGGCTTTGCACATATAGACAGACGTCAATATTCATTTAATGCATTTGGAAACTTTCTCGATAAGCTTATTTAGGAGAAAATACTGTAATACTAGGTTCATATTAACTGAAACCACTGTAACTTAAACTACTTCCTGTATCTATGCTGGACAAGTCCTACAGTGAATTCTCGCTTACACGAATTTTACCTTATTTGACAGTGTTTATACTCATTGACCATAACAGGCACGAGAGAATTTCCCATCTGCCCCTTCTTCCCTAATCATAGCTGCTCCTTTGGTTCGCCTACTAGCAGAAGACAAGTTGTCTTTTACTGAGGGAAAACCATCACTGGATCCTCAGTTCCTACAAAAACCTACCTCTAATCCTGCTGCCTGGAAAAACAAGTGGGATCACAGTAAATTGACTGTGCCCTGAGTATTTTCTAGCAAGTACAATCTCTAATACGCAGCCGTCTTAAATCTATCCAAAGCTTGATATTTATGAAGGCTTACCTGGAAGATAAGCAGTCCCTCCAAATCCTCGAAATTTTACCCAGGATTAGGGTAAACCAGCCGAGAGTTATATCCTTAACAGTCCTCCACCCATGCCTCTACCGAGTGGTATTTTCCTGGTATGGTGGCACTGGATGGTACTGAGGGCCACTATCGGAAACAGCCTGATGTAGCTGAGGGCTGGCTGTGCCTGAGATAAAGGTGTCAGTGAAGATGATTTTCATTCTGTTACACAGTGTTCTTTTTATAAGGACTCTAGGGAGCAGATTTTTTTTTTTCTGGCTTCAACACCAGCAAAAGGCATTCTCCTAAGCATTTGGCTTGTTCTTATCTTACAGACCGTCTCATTTTGGCTTTAAGCAGAACTAATATGTTGTTTAAGATACCTGGCGGCAAAGAGGTCAGGAGGAGGTCAGGCTGTCTTCTCTGTAGTGAATTAGCGACATTCATTCATTATCTCCCAAGTCCTCATTAAAACAGCTTTAATGCGGTGACCATTTGATGGTACATATGCGCTTTAATCTTGTGAATATCAGACCCACCTGGGTTACATTTCCTGTTATGGAGAGTTAGCAGAAGCAGGTTAACACAATATGTTAGCTCCTTAATCTGCAGCTTGTGTAGGAACCAGGCTCACTAGTCACCTGAATTCGAGCTCCAGTGGTCTATATAGAGTCCCAATTCATCAGGTTCTGTCTTCAAACCTCAGATTGCTTAAGACACTTCTTCTTTTTTTTTCTGGAAAGGGTAGGAAGTTCTTAATTTACTTTTTTAAATGGAGGTCCTCGGGACTGAACCCAGGACCTCGTGCATGCTAGGCACACTCTCTACCACTGAGCTGTACCCTCCCCCAAGACACTTTTAATCATCTGTTTAATTTCACACCTTATCTGTTTTTGTTCTGATAGATGATTTTTCAGGTTACTCTTTAGGCCTGAATATGCCCTATTTTTCTTCCTCATCTGACCTAGATTCAAATTTACACACTGTGAAATAGCTAATAAATTCCCATTAAGGTTCTAAAAGGTGAAGGTTCAACCAGTGTATAAGTCATCAAATTCTCATGTAAAACTGAATGATCCTTGATATGCATAGCTTTGCAAAAGTATGCTACAGGTCCTTAGGATTTTTATGAAAAAAAAAGTTTTAAGTCATTTGGCTGAAGGGAGCCTACCAACTCTAGAATGACTTAAGTATTTCTATAATTTCCAAATCACCTAGGGCAGATCTCCCCTCTCCCAATTAATCTTAAATATAATCTTTTCCCTTGAAGCCTGCCCATAGTTCTAACTTTACCTGTACTCTCTGTACACCGTTTCCTCTCTGTGCCTTTGTCTTCGAGGTTGGACTTTAAAAGGGAAAGTTTGTGTTTGCATTTGGGCTGGTGGAGTCTAGGGAAAGTGGGACAGGAGATCCCACTGGGAGCTTTTTTTTCCCCTTTCCACAAGCAATAGAGAGTATTACAATGATTTACAGAGACACGTTGAAAGTAAATTATGTTGTAAACGCCTGTCCCTTGGGCCAGCTAAGAATCACAGGAAAAAAATGCAAAAAGTTTGAAATTCCCAACAGCAAAGGTTGACAGGAAAATATGGTTTTGTTTTTCTATGAGTAAAAGTAACTTTTATGTTGTATTTTCCCATGAGAAATTATAAACTTTCAAAGGAATTTTAGCCTCTTGCATGCACGTATAAGAGCAATTTATCTGGTCCTGCCCTAGTGAAAACACTCTTAAGACTTTAAAGCTGTTAGAAGTGGGGCTGAATTTCTTCAAGACCGCTACTTCTTGCTTGTCCTTGTTGCCTCCTCTTGTCCAAACATTTACTCAGACTTTGAAGAGTTGCAAGTTGGCAACATGTTAATAATAGGAAAATGCATCTGTGTGGCCCGTGTGGCTGCAATTTTTGAGTACAATCATCACTTATTTAATGAATAATGGAGTCTTGATAGCTATGGCGACAAGAAGGGGAAGCAGCAAATTAAATGAGAACTTGTCCATAGCAAGATACTGCAAGCGTTGCCAAGGTAGCTTGCCTTTTTGGGAGCCTGAGTCTCAAGTAGGGTACTCAGTCAGACCCCTGCCCTCTCCCTCACCTTTTGAGCAACAGCTCCAGAAATCCTACAGCTAGGTGGGTAGCTTAAATCCCTTAGGTCCATTTTGTGGATGTGAACATCTTTTATCCCTGAGAAACTTAAAGCAGATCTTTAGATCATTTTTCTTTGGCTGTCTCAAATAGAAATCACTCAGAATGATTTTTATTAGAAATTCAATTTCTTTTTTTATGGCATGATAAGAAAATAAGTAAAAGATGCCCCAAACCGTTCCTCAGCCTTCTCTGCAACTAAAACTCACATCATTAGATTTTTCAGCAGTGTTGTTCAGTATTGGCTTCTTTTCCTCCAGACATTCTTGGTTTGACTCTTGTCCCTGCCCCCTCTCATAATCTCTTCTTTGCCGAAGGTCCAAGTTTTCTCTAGTGTTTATAAACGCTTCCTTGTCAAAATACCAGATAGTCTGTTTCTCCCTGGCAGGGAGATTTACCCAAAGGATGTCATTTCAGGGACTATGAGCAGACACAGTAATTCTCCTTTCTCTACCTGTCATTTCAGCATTTGCATCAAAACTCAGATGCACATAAGCAGGATGCATGCCTTTAGTTTTCATTCCATTCAACAGAGTGCTCCAATTTTCAGGGACTTCATTCCATTTAGACTTCAGAATTGTTCTAAAGTTTCTATAAATGTTGCCACAAGATCTAAGGAACACTATAAACCTTAAAAAGTTCATGTGCATTATATGACCGAAAGAAAGTACAATATCCATTTTTTCTCTTTGCAACATCAGTGATGAGCAGAATGAAAGCTAAGCCAGCCTCACCCTCATTTTCTCATGCACTGCTAGGCGCACACAGAAACCCTGCGGCTACGCATTCTTTCTTTCCCCACCCCTTCATTTTCTCTGCCTGTGATAGACATATCCTTATTTATGGATTAACAAGTACGAAGATCATTTCACTTCCTGACATAAATGATAATATACCTTTACCCCAGGGATATATTTCAACCAAAATAAATAAATAAATCCCCCATGAAAAGCATCAGATTGAGTTGTGCCTAAACAGAGCTACTTAATTAAAATATCATAGTAAAATGCTTTTTTTTTGGTGGGGAGGGTGAAGAGAAAGCTTACAGTGCTTCATTTGTAAAAGAGTAGGGAAAGAAATTGCAAACTCATTCCAAGTCCTGTGACTGTTACTCCCCAAAAAGGAAAAGACCCCAGTTGTTGTCATATCTGAAAGATAAGTTTACAGTTGGGAGATGGTGTGTCATGTAGTGATAGATTTTAAAAGATTTATTTAGAAAGGAAATAGTACACCTTCAAGAATGGGAGGTGGGCTGATCCAAGAGGAAAAATGGCATTTTTTGGTCTCCCTTATTTCTTATACTCTTGCTTAAAAGTGGTCTTTTGATTGATTGACGGCTCTTGTCCCTGGAATGCTGAGTCATGTTTGACCCCTT